TATTCCTAGTCAGTATATCCAGGTGCTCTATCACTAACAAAAATATTAGCACTGCAGATGGCATTTGATATCCAGAAACAAGAGAATTGCAACATTCTAGACAGACTCATGAATGTGCCAGTGGAAGTTACAAGGAAAACACAAAGGTTAATTAAATCAATTTGAAGTTGGTTTCAAAAAGTCTAATCTACAATACCTTCCATTCATTTCTGAGAAAACCTTCATATTCTCAGATTCTGGGGCAAAAGAAAATAATGTATACAGGTGGCTACAGCTATTTGAGGCAAGCATTGTATCAACAAAAAACGTCAACATAACATGTAGGATTAAAGGAATCAGCATGACAGATATAAGAGAAGGGTGGAAAACAGAGTAAAACGTTACCTGTTCAGGTGTCTTCTCGTGTCTTCCTGCTATCTCTGAGACAACACACAATTTCAGCATGGGCCCATGTACTGATCTTGACCTCCTGAATGATATGCGAGGAGTGCCAGGTTCATCTTCCCCTGATCCGCTATCAGATGGTCCAGGGCTCCATGTGGGAACCCCTAATGGTGTGTGAGCAGATACATGAATACCCTTCAATTGACAGAACTTAACCAGTTCTTCTTGCCTCCAAAAAGGATGCAACTCAACCTAATAAGACTACTAAATCAATCAAGAAACTCACATTTGTAGAAAAATCTTTATTTACAATGAAAAAAAAGCAAAGAAAAAAAAAGGGAATAACAATAAAATATAAATTACATGAAAAAACTGTTTTATTGTAAACATTCATTGTTGTCATCTCATGACATGCAACAAAAAAGAGTCAATGGAGAGGAGTGAGACAAGATATACTAAAATGAGTTCTCATTTTATGAGAATAGGATGTCTTAGGGAAAATCAGCATGGCAGGCTTGAATCAAACTCTTCTTAACCTTAGAAATGTTGAAATCTCAACCATACGTCATTTGTGATGACATCTCAACCATATGTCATTTGTGAAACATGTCACTCTTTTATTCCACTCTAAACTATTTCTACTTAGCACCAAATCATAGGCCAACCTTAAAGCTTTCTATCACCGTTGCATCATGAATCCCTCATTTTCAATGAGACAACCTTTTGGGGTCATTATAAACAATTAGATTCTATCTAAATCCTCTTGCTGTTATACTGAATGCAAAGCATTGACATATCACCAACTAAACCATACATCCTAATTTATTATTATTCTGACCAGCAAGAATTTATCTCTTCATATACTAACTGCCACCCTCGCTTGTTATGAAGTTCGAGCTCCCTAGACAAATCCTCCTTCCTCGACTCTTTCTATCTCCTTATATATTTTTGTGTATGCAACATTGCATCTTCTAACTTCCCATTAATTAATGTGCCATTTAAAAGTTTTACGCTAAGAAGGAGAGGATGCACAGGATCTAAATAATTACTCGTAGATTAACACATTTTAAGAAATAAAATGCTTACAACAATTCAAAAGTAGTGCATACACTAAAAATCTCCAATAAAAGACCATCACAAATCAAAGGGGTGGCAGATATGAAATTAGATGTGCAACTGAGATCTATCGATTACATCCTGCAGATATAAAATTAGAAGGCACGGAATGCTACATGCTACATTGATGGTTCAAAGAAGTTCAGAGGAAACAGGCTGTTTCAAAGTTTGGACTCAAGTGTAATGCCAAACTTAAAAGAAAGAGGCATTGGATGGTGATGGTGGCTTCGGAAAGTCCCATTTCAGGCCATCTTTAGATCCAAGAAAATGGTTCTCTTGATGGAAGGAGTAGAACATGAATCTGCTGTTTTGAGATAGTTGTTGGTCCTTATTTATTGGAAAGGAGGAGGTACACTTTTGTCTAAATCAATAAAGGAACAACCTGTTATAAAAATCTGTTCAAAATGGATAGCAGAAGTTAACAAGAATGATGAGCCAACCTGATTGACAGCAGGCACCACTTTCGCAAATTTCAGCAACTCTTTGATCTGCTGGACACTGAAATTGCTGACACCGATAGCTCTCACAAGACCCAAGTCACCAAGAGCTTCCATGGCTTTCCATGCTTGCTTCAACCGATTCAAAAACTGCCTATACTCACTCCCCGACTTCGAAGGAGGATCAGTTGCGTCCCCAAAAGCCGAGCTATCAGGCCAATGCATCAAATAAAGATCCAAATACGACACTCCAAGATTCTTAAGAGAAACCCTCACATAATTTTCAATTTTATTAAGGGAATTCATAGTACAGTAGAGCTTAGAAGTCAAGAAAACATCCTCCCTTTTCAGTGAAACATTGAATGCTTCGCCCAGTGCTTCCCCAACTTCAATCTCGTTCCCATAAAGATGTGCACAGTCTATATGACGGTAACCAACAGACAGGGCAGTTCTCACAGCTTCAACGCAGAGGTCACCACCACTCTGCCATGTTCCAAGTCCAATGGCAGGGATTTTGGCTCCTGTGTTCAGCACAAAGTGACTTCCTACTACCCCAGTTTTCCCTTGCATTTTTTCAATCTTGTTTCAACCAACAAAGAGTCTACAACCCAAAAAAACTTGAAGGATGCAACAACTCAATCCAAATCCAACAATATAACAAGTAGGAACTGGAGAGATTGTAGAACCAAAATCTTAGGAATGGATATGGAGAGTCAAACAAGAACCCATGGATCAACTAATACAAAAAAAGAAAAACCCAGTTGAAATGGAATGGAATCAAAATCATCCAAGCAAGAAGAACAGCAAATCATTCTCAATCGAAAAAAATAGTTGACTAAACAAAACCCACCTTGAGTTTGTCAATTTACCAGTTAAGAGGAGGAAATTCAATAAAGAACATAGCAATTCCAACACGAAGAAGTCGCAAAGACTAAAACAATACAAGTAAATAAAGACTCGGATGGATAAATGCCTTTGTTTAATAGTTAGCAAAATGTCCCAGGTCTGGTCGTGGTGGTCAATAACGGCGCCAAGAAAGAGCACCAAAGAAAACCAACTGCACCAAAACCCACCAACTTTTTTTTTAAAAAAAAAAACATCCACATACTAGCTGTGCCGTGAAATCAATATGCTTCAGCAGGAATGCATGATACAAAATATATATATATATATATATATATCAACAAATACGCAAGATGCTCAACATATTACTAATACATAAGGCAATTTCCACATTTCCTGCCAAAACAGTCTTCTTTCTCTTAAGAACGATTTTTATTTTTTATTTTTTTTATTTTTACAAACGTGATTGGAAGGGAAGCGATAAGCCTTCATACCGAGATTACATAAATGACCAATTAATTCATGAACTTGGGGGGGGAGTGGTGAATAAGAAATGAAAAATATCCAATTTTTTATCTTTTTAAACGGTTAAAAATGAATAATTCTGTATTGGAAATATTCTATTAGAAGAAAAAATGATAACAAAAACTTGAATCTAGATTATTTCGATTTACATTTTTCATTTTTCACAAGTTTGATTCCATTTCGTTCAATTGAGCTTTGAAACGCCAACAAAATACGGCATTGACGGGAGAAACATTGATGCATCCACCTCGCATTACCTCATTGACGGGAGAAACAATGGAGAGCAAACTGGATAATATGTTCTTGTTTTCTTAAGTTTCATCTATTTCGGTTATATTTTTTTAAAAAAAAAAATATTTTTAACATATCACATCAAAAAAATATAAAAATATAAAATAAAATAATCAATTTTGTTGTTGTAATGCTATTCTAGATCCTAATTTATTAAGTTAAAGGAGGCGTGCCGTGTTGCCTTATGTTTTGTATGTCTTGTTTATACCCCAAGTGGAACAGGTAGTCGAAGCTTCACTCACAGAAATGATCGCCCAGGTTGTCTCTCGCTAGCGTGCAGAACCATCCCTTTCACCCCCGCCGAGGAAACCGCCTCTATCCAATTTCTCTCGGCCCAAGTACGAGAATAATCGGAGTAGTGCTTTGCGTAAAAATGACGACTCCATTTTTGAAAGTGATGCATCGGGTCGAGAATTCTTTTATGCCCTCACGCATGCAATGACGAAACTGGTATCTTGTGCTGGATTTTGAACGATGATTTTCATATCATAAATACTTTTATAAGCAAGTTAAAATGATGGATTTACTTTTGATGGAGACCTCAATTAACAAATTTAGAACGTCACACCTCGTCCACCTAATATTTAATTTGCTGTTGGGTAATTAAATTATTAACTATATATATATATAATCCATGGTAAACTAAGTACGATTATATATGAAGGGATTTCTCATTCCTTTTTTTTTTTTTTTTCAATTTTAAGATAAGTGATAATCGCATCATCTTTAGCGTTAAAAGGACCATGCAAAAACAAATGAAGACTCAAAATATAATCATTCATATTTGAAGAATTAGAACTGTTAAAGCATTGCTTAAAACAAATTTTAATAGTTATTCGTATTTAAAAAACACAGTACTTTAGAATTGGTCCAGCCTCTGTTTTTCAATATCTAATGGACTCCCAAGGCTTGATATATTTTCTTTTGAATAATGGACTTCTTGATGGTTGATACAACATTAGCCTTTTGAGCTATAATTGTGCTTTATTGTAGAGTTCGTGTTTTAAAGTGTTGTTCTGAAAAAATATTAAATTCATCTATTTTTAGATTTTTTTATGGTTTTGATATGTTAATATTAGGAAATAAATATATATATATATATATATATATATATATTGACACGTTTATAATATGTTAACCATTGATTTTTAATATGTTCTCTTATCTTCAATTAACAACCCATCTTCTACATGGTGTTAACCATTGATTTTTAATATGTTCTCTACTTGTCTTCAATTAACAACCCATCTTCTACATGCATTCAATTAATCAAAAAACAAAATCTTATTGAATGGTGCCAAAATCCCATGTTTATACAAGCTAATTCCATTTTAAAAAAATGCACAATTTCTTTTAAAAAGAGAAAGGTTTTGCCTGTATCTTTGGCAAGGTTTGGTATTATGATATGAATTGTTTTTCAAATTATTTTTTCATTTGAAAAAATATTAAAATAATAATTATTTTATTTATTTAAATTTATTTTTAATACTAGCACATAAAAACAATTCAAGACACCAAAAAACAATTAATTTAAAAGGTACATAATGTGGGATTAGAGAGTTTACAAAACTGTGTTATTTCGACATGTTGCGGTTTTCTGCAACTCAATCAATGTGTGCATTTACAGATTAACAAGCAGGAAATAAATTCTCTATATAGACAGCATGCAATTATTCTATTTCCTCAAATTTTATTCTCATCCTACCCCAAATAAGCATGCTTCCTTTAAACCTGGCACCATTTTTAATTTTTTTCACGATCACAAACATGTTTAATCTTCTCTTTTTTCTACACTTGGGATTTTTCTTGTTTCCGTGGCTCTAGACTACAATCACATTCGTGTTAACCTAGTTGGGTCTTACGAGCGGTAAATGCTGCTGAGAAAATAACTGAAAACCTACCGTTCAAAATGTTGCCAAGACCGGATAGGTCGAGCTGGAAACCAAACGGACATCTATCTGCCAGTCAACCTTCATAAATCTATTAACTCCTTTCGATGAGACCAAACTCATCAGAAAGGAAATCTTTTAGCTTAATGAATGAATCACAGCCCAGCATAGGGAGAAAGTGAAGAGAGCCTCCCCGGTTCAGAGGCATGTTCTTGCACAGGAAATTTGCCAGGTTCGTTCTTTTCCCAGCTGTAGATAATTTTCATGGATGCTTCTTGTAGAATTTCCATGAGATATTTATGAAACTTTCAAAAACTGAAATTTTCCATGAGCTCGATTTATATCTCTGTCTGCTAACTGCAACTTTCTAGAGCAATTAGCTTGATTTTAAGGCTTGTTTTGTTTGGACAAACAATTATACAATTTTTTTATATATATAAAAGGTTAGACCTAGGAAAGAATATCCATCCACTCACAAAACTAAGAGAGAACAAAGAACATTTGACGGATCCAGTATAAGAAACAGCACAAGCCGAAGGCACAACAAACAATTTTTCCACTATTTCTCGTGCATGGTTGCTTGCAAAGTTATAGAAACAACAGAGCACCAAGCATAAGACATGCAGCCAGCACAGCTTCACCAAGCATAAGACATGCAGCCAGCACAGATTAGAACAGAACACTAACTGTAACACAGTCAAGTACTTAGAAGGTCATTAGTTTTTCAGCACATCCATGGCCTCCTACCATGAACAATTGACATTTTGCATTCCATAAAATTAGCTTGCAGACTCCAAAATAACAAAAACTCAACAATGGCTATCCCTTGTCTTGTCTTAGTATGACAGGCAATGACATCTCCAAAGTGAATGGAAGCATATAAGCCATTCTTGAGAATTCCATTCCATCATACACTTACCTCCAATTCTGTTAACGTAAGGAATTATTCTGAGAGATACCACGTTTTGGAGGCAATTTCCTCAAAATGAAAAGAACCAATGAAGAAGGTAAAATCTCCACCAGCTGCAAATAAAACGTTGAAATACAGACAAATCAAAAGCACACACTTAAGAGGTAGATAGAGACTATACTTAGCAGTGCAAAAATAAACAGCAGAAAAATGCAATCAGTACTCTAAAGCATGCCATAGATACACAACTCACAAAATTTGATAAAGAACCAAAAAAATTTAAAAACTAAAAAAAGAGAGCCAAGACATAGAAGTCCACTTCAAACAGGAATCAATGAACAATGTAAAGGATGGCAATGAGATAAGGAATCCTAGGACCAAAGGCATATCATGAGCATTGTTCTTCGAGAACTTCTAACAACCACCTTCGGATATTCATGAATGCACAGCTGTCATCCATGATTCTATTCAAATTCTGAAAGCATAAAGAATTCTAAGTTCACAAATTATTTTTCACAATCAGATATAATGCCAAGCCACCTCAAAAGTACCATTTGATATAAACATTCCAGCAAAGCTGATCATTCAAACAAGGTACATTTAGGAATACCAAACTCATATCATTTTCAAACACCCCAGCATCTATAGATCCAGATATCTTCTATTCATAAACCAGCAAACATTGCAAGCAGCCGAGAATTTCTCCATGTCATGTGTGTGTGTTTGCACCTTTGACTTTACATTTAGCTATCCCGTGGGGAAACCATCATGGAACAGCCTTTAAAAAAAATATGTTTTGATAAACAAAACATGCCACAGACTTGTGACCACATTGCAAACTTACCAGGTAATATATGAAGTTTAGAACTGGATGATCCAACACATCAAGGTCTGCAGCTTTATCAAATGCATTAAAGCACATCTGAAGCATAAGAAAATTGCAGTGCAAAACTATAGTTAGAGAAACTTCAGTTCTAGAGATGGAATAAATAGAGCTTCAGGTCTCAGCAAAATGAATGAGACTGTCAGGGGTAACTAATTTACAATAAACATTGTCATTTAGGATAGCTAAACAGAAATATAGACTCCAATTCTCATGTAAAGGAATGCTAGCAGCAGTCATGGTGAAAACTGCTAGGAACACTTGCTCAATATAAGAGTCCACGTTGCAAAAGAATAGCAAAAGGTATTGGCACAACCGGTTAAACATCGATCAATTCATATTTATCTCCCTCTTAAAAATAAAATTGTAAGAAAATTGAAAAGAAAAGGATGAATCCTCTGTGTTTGTCTCAAGACTCCTAACTCTTGCCCTCCCCAATCCCTAGCTTCTTTTAATCTTCTTCCAATGTCCCAGACCAAAAACATTTCCCACTATTTAAGTTTCTTTGTCTTTGGTTGATCTCTCAAAAAACCTCTCCCTTAAAAGAACTTTACAGTTAGAGAAATCAGTTCTTTTTTGTCATGGCTGTATCTTATTTGGAATCGACAACATTCATTTTATTTTCAGTTTTGAGTTCAACATCACCGTTTGATCTGAAGTTTCATTATGCTCAACAAGAACTTTAGCATAGTACTTATTTGACGGCTGGATTCATTGTTTAAGCTTGAATGAAACGATGATGCATCTTAATTTGCAAGGTTATTCAGCGGTTTTAATTTGTAAACTGATCGTCTCTGTGAAGGTTGATGCATCTTAAAGCAGATTTGAGAAATGTTGATTTAATAGCCAACAGTTTACATCTCAGAAAGAAAACAGTGTTAATATATATATATATATTCAAACCAGTGTCCAGTAATACATTTATAAATTATTGGCAACATGGCTGTTGATTCTGGGAGAGTGTCACAAGCAGCTGTCAAAGTGACTGCTGCTAGCATTTCCCTTCTCATGTAAGCACTTAACTGACCATTTTAAAACTTCTATATCCAATACAAGGCATAATTCCCACATAGTCAAGGGTAGAAAAGAGAATCTGGAGAAAGATGAATACAAACTCACCATAATGCATCTAACAAGGAAGCATGAGAAACATATGGTTGTTACATAGCCAACCTGTTCAGAAGCCAGACAGAAAAAACACTCAAATAAATGAAAAACCGCAGACAGTAATGTATTGAAAGAAGAAAACCATATAGTTTGTAAAGGAAAATATTTCCTGCCACAGCAGGGACCCTAGATAGTGGAGTCTCAGGGTAGATGCATAATAAGAGATTCAAATGAGTTTAGATTGTACATCTAAGTTTGAGGATCTTGTTTAATCTGAATCATTGAATAAACACTTTGGTTAACTGAGAGTCTAACACATCATGAAGCTATAAACTCTGGCTGCTAGATTTACAGGACAGCACTTTCTAAATATAATTACCTCTTGCAATTTCTTACGCCTCCCTTTGGATTCCACAGGGAATCGCTGCAACATTAAGAAGAGCCTGCCACAAGATGACAATTCAGAGTACAGATTCTTTCATAAGAAGCGTATCTTCTAGGAGAATGAAAACCAAGCAAAAAGAGAAATCAAAGGTACATGCTAAGAGGCTATCACATACAAGTTCATCATATTGCATAACTATGCAAACACAAACTAATGCAATTAGAAGAAAGACAGTACAATGAGTATAGATAAGTATGCAACCACTGGCATCCTCATAAGACTTTTGAAGTGGCCCCAAGCAACTAACACTTCATCTCAGCCCACTTCATGAAAAACAGAACAACGACTGGACTCATAAAGGATCCAGTTTATGAACCATTACCCTAGAAGTAAGATGATCAAAATGCACTACATGAATAGCATGAGGATCATAACAACAGGAGACATCATAGAAAAGTTGGATGATCGATCTTGCTAACCAGATCTGAGTGCAGCAGCAGAGATGAAGGAATCCCCATCCCTCTTTTTTTTTTTTTTTTTTGAATGTGTTTAGTGTCCCACTTCCTCCAGAGGAAGCAGGAGAGTCAAAAAAGATAGCAGGTGGGATAGGATACGGATAGCATCTGATTCCCATGACCCAATATGATTTACTGAGCAGTGGCTGAACTCCCACCAAGCAGGGTGAAACATGAAAAAACTGACACAACTTAAGCAACAATCAAAACGCCTAAAATATTGCTCCAGCAGGGTCCCTTTATTAGGAAATTCCACCAGAACTCACTCAGAGGAAAATCCCATTCCATCAGGTCAAAATAAATTGCAGTGGGCACTTCCTATGAAATATATCTTATAAGAACTCCAGTGGCTGTTCTTTTCTACTTTTTAGGAAAAAAAAGGTGCTGCCATCCTAACCAACCCCCACCAAAAAGTAGCAGCTAACTACAAATCCATTTTAGACCTGGAATAAATCTACTTTTGAGCCTCATTCCAGGTTAAGGGAATAGTGAAATGACACAGCATTGTCATGGATTTGGCATGCCATTTAACATGGAGCTGAAACTTCCAGATGGAAATATGATGTCACAAGGAAATAGCAGTTGACAAGTTGAATAGTTGCATTTTAATGGATATCTGAACCTATACCGATTAAAGCAATGGATTGGCCAAACTGCCAAACCAAAAGTAGCTGACACTATTTGGTGTCAATGCAAGAATGATACCATAACCAAGGGAAATCCACTACTTTGAGTGTCATTGACAGTAATTTAGTACTGGGAAACTAAAGTGGTGTCCATGGCTTTACAGTATTCTGATAAACAAATCTGTTGCCATTTGCATACTTTGGGGTTCAATCCAAACCCACCTATAGCATTCGCAGAGTGAAAATATACAATTTATAAATTTTCCTAGTGCTGACACCCTATATGAAGTGCTGCATGTATTCATCTTGTTCATGCATGAAGAATATATGCATTAAGAAAACAAAAGTGGGTTACCTTCCACCATAGAGTAGAAAACCAAGAGCTGCAAACAAAGACACACCTGCCAAGGATATCAATGTTAAGAACAAATTGTCTGAATTACCACTAGAGAATTACCAATTATGTAGAGAAGCTCAGGGTGTAAAGTAAAGAACCTGCAAAGAACACCTTTGATAGGATGGCAACAGTTGGAATAGTTTTCCAAGCCAACACCAACCACATAGCAATCTGGAGTCGATTAAATCAAAGAATCAAAGTTGAAGCTAATATGTTGCCAATCATACTGGTCAATTTGCAAAGGGCTCAATACAGCAATAACCAGTGTACCCATAGAAAGAACCAACAAACAGACACCAGGCATGCAAAGAATTTGGCAACAGTCATGCAATGACGGAACAACTTCAAAGGGTATAATGAATAGATAGTGCATAATGTATCACACAAAATTCTCAATCCTTCAATGAATCTTAGGAATGCTGCTATGCAAAGGAAAGTGGTGTTAAGAGCCTGCAAATGTCATGTCATTATGATTGACATTCACCAACTCAGAATTTTCAGACAATGGGAAACCAGCTGATAGGACAGTCTAGCATGCTAGACTAGGTTTGCAATAGCTAAAGCTATCGCAGGCATAACCATGGCCAGATATAATAGTTGAAATGAATGGCAAGTTAGTACAAAAGCACCAAGGCTTAATCTAGTTTGCTTACATAAACTTCAAAGTGAATTTTTAAAGTACTTGAATAAAAGAAAAAAGAAACAGAAAATTGATGTCGGGTTCTGGAGCATGTGGTTGTACTTAAATATGCAAACAATAAGACACTGGACAATTTTGAAATTCTCTTTGGAGGAACCTAGAAGGTAGTAAGGTATGCATTTAGAAGATTTTTCCTGAGCTAGGTGCTTGTAAACCACTAGCTTTTTTATTTCACATCATGGCTCTATATGAAAACTGTAGCATTTTATTATGGCTTATACAAGCATCCTTTGAAAGAGAATGCACGTGTGTGTAAAAGCAATTAGCAATTGGCCTGCAGTGCATATAGCCATACCATGTGGATGTTTGATGCATCATTTCACAGATTCAGTGGCAAAGAATATGATAAAGATTTTTCTGGAAACCACTAATAAAGATTATTTTCTATTCTCCCCTTTTATTTCCTGCTCTTTGCAAAGTTTAGTTTTCTTATTGCTTTAATGCAGCCCTTCACTAATTTTTAGCTAGTAAAATGACAAATGCTCTGAATTCTTCTGAGTACTTTTTCTTTACCAAACCCAACAAAATTGAAATCAGCCATAATAGCCTCAAATTCTTGCTGATGCAAACACGCCCAATGTCTTAGTTTATCTTACAGCTTCTACTGCATCAAGCACTTGGCATCAGACAAAGGTTATAGCTTATATCCCAACATAAGATGTAAAACCAGAAAGGCATCTCCAGAAGGGACACTCGTTCCACTAATGGGATGAGAAATGGAAACCTCAATTATTTTTTTTTCATGTATCTGACTCTGAATAATTAAAACATTAATAATTAGACGGCACTTTGGCAAATAAGGTAAAAAAGAAAAGTATCTCCTTTGCATGGAAAAGAAGCAGTATTTACACTGGTCATCCAAATAATCTAAATTGCACTATCTAGTTTATACAAAGTTACTGTGAGGTCATCTTAAGAATATTCCTGGTTAAGGGTTTAACCTTAACACACACTTCAATAACATTTGAAAAGATTAGCTGAATACGGGAGAAAAACTGCAACAATATTACAGTACATAGCATTCCTTGAATGAAGCTTACTAGCTTTCACATAGAAAGAATTTGACTTTCAATCCTCCCCCTTCACCTGGATTAATAGCAAAAATATGGAAAGAAAATTCACCTGAATGGCATAAACCACCGCATTAATTGTAAAGAAACTTGGCCTGAGTCCATCAGTAGATACCGCACGTGCCTGTTTAAAATATGTCAAGTCATAACAGATTTGAACCAAACATAAAATTGATAAACTGAACTGCAAGTGAAACTCAACCTGGTAGTAAATCTCTGCCCAGAACAGAACCAGAAGCGCATATGTGGTGAAGAATGCTAGACTTGGGAAATCAAGGAGGATATGTTGGAAAATCTTGAGCAACAGAAATGAACAAGTTTACCGATTAGTAATCATTGTAAACCAATTAAGTTACAAATGAGAGAGGGAGACGTAAAAGTCGAGCACCCCCATACCGGTGGATGGATGCTTTCTACATTCCGGCGAAAAACAAATAGTAGACATCGAACTGCCATATAGAAGAAGAAGAAGAAGAAACCTCAGTCAACATAACATGATAAAATCACAATGGAAAGCATATTTGTTTGCTTTGAGAATATTGAAATACAAACCCCCATTCACGAGGAAGTTGAGAAAATGAAAAACCTTCTGCGTAGTCCAGCCATATTCCGGAACTCTCAATTGTATCCTTATCAATTGAATCTAAAAATACAATCAAACAAATTCAAATTCCATGCCTCTCCATCCATCAATTTAAAACCCTAGAAATTCCTATATCTCATCGTTCGCGTGCATAGATTAACAAAAGATAGATGACATGGTGCTAATTTAATACAGACATTAACAAAAAGAGAGGAAGGTGTGGCAAATGTACAAAAGCAACGGCGGCGACGAGACCGTAGAGGGTGGCCAGGACATGAAAGATGCGATCTTGCCAGAACGGTGATTCATTAATATCGTGCCACCAACTCGAGGCCTCTTCCAATTTGAAAGAAATCACCGTCCCAGCCATTTCTGCTCCGCTGCTGCCTTTATCCATTGCTCCACGGAGATATTGATTTATGCCGATTGTTTCCTTTTTTAAAACCAAATTGAAAAGGAGAAGGAAATAAGCGACTCGATTTTTCTTTCTTTTGCTTTGAATAATTCTTGTTAGGAGCTGAGAATGGAATCTGATCACGTTATTTTGTTTCGTTTTTTCGGATTATTTTTGTTTTTATTAAGAAGAAGTTTGCTATAAAGAAAATTGTAGTGAAAAACCGCCGACAAAAAAAGAAAAGAAAAGATAAAATGGGTGGGAGAACAGAGGTGATTGATTTTATGAGGTTTTTTTCTGGAAAATACGCCTTGTACCGTACTGGCTGTCGCCGATGGTATTTGGATGAGTTTGCGGATTTAAAAGGCGTCATTCTAAGCTTCGGCTGATTTGGCACTCTTCGCCCGCACCACGTGCCTCCAACTCAGCTATCTTCTTCTAGGATTAATAAATAAGTGCACGTTAAATCTTACATTAATTATCCGCAATTACTAAACTTAGCCCGGTTTGTCGACCGGGTCTAATTAATCCACTTTCTTGCTGGGGCTGGAGCCCCATGTTAAAAAAAATTGCAACTCGGTTGAGCTTGTGAATTTACGCTTAACTCCGTCAAAACCCGTTTTAATTTTTAAAAAAATTGCAAAATGAACAAAAAAAAAAAAGCATGACTCTTCCTAATTTCGAAACCAATTAGTCGACTAGTAGAAGAAAGGAGTGTTGAAAAGTTACAAAAGAAATAGTTAATTTTATTTTTTTTGTTAATATAGATGTTCACACTAGTTTAATCATATAAGTATTTAGTTGATATAAAAAAACTCAAACTTATAAAATAGATAAATTTTATTATGTTGACTTGTGTCTTTTCCTTATCTAATTTTTTTTGGTGTTGTTGCTGCTATTATTTTTTTCATAATTCTTTATTTTTTCTTTCTATCTAGTGGTGTTGTTTTTCAATCTAGTCTATTCAAGTGTTTAGGAGTTTTTTATTTTATTTTTAGCATGGTAAAAAAATTAGTAAAGTAAAACTATTCACATAATAGTTTTTTAAAAATTAATATAATTTGACAAGCCACAAACCTCGTATACGACTTATCACTCGCATGTAAGGCTTACAACTATGTCCTCCATTCTCTATATAAACTAATCTAAAAATACTTTTATTTTACCACCCCTGCAAACATACTGCTACCCAAAACCCTACTGCTCCTTTTCTGCTGCGACATATCCCCTCTACCACTGCGAGATTCCCTCTTATCTCTCCCTGCTATAACAAGTTTTTTCCTCTCCCTCGCTATGTTGATTGACCTCTTGATAAACAACATCACAATAATAGGATATAGATTGTTGATTGATAGGGATGATATACGTGGTTGAGTATTGGGAACGTAGACCTTCAACCAGTGATTATAAAAGCAAAACTCATAAAATTGACATTGTTGGTAACTGAATTCAAGACCTCCTAGTGGATGTGACAAAAAACTAGTTGGTTGAATATGCTTGAGCGTATATAATACATATATTCTAGGGGCTCGTCTTTGTTGGTATTACATGCAATGCAATGCTATTTTTTTCCTAACATTATTCGAGGATTTTTAGTCCATTTTTAACTATAGCTGGGCGCATGTTTACACATCTATACCGACAATCATGCAAGACATATATATAAAAAAGGAGACAAGCAACTGGTTACCTACTATTTTTCTATATATAACTTTATTTTAAATATTTTCCATTGAAGAATTTACTTTGTTTATGGTAATTAATTATATTTCAAGAACTAACTTGAAACTTTAAATATAAATTAATATAATTTTGGTTATGATAGCATCTTTATATCAAACGCCTATAGAGTTGAGGCAATAATATGTTTGAGCTTAACATCTTGAGGCAAATTACATATGGGATCTAAGTAATAGTAAATTTTGAACAACACATTATTTTTATAAATTAAATGGAGAAAAAAGTATACTAATTTTATGGCTTGTCATGTTATGCGGAGTGGGGCTAAACATGTTATTTTAAACATTATTAACGTTTATGAATTCTACTATGATGAGTTGGATGCATAACAATCTTACTTGTTATTTTTTTAATAATGTATTTTTTATTATCTGGGTGTTAATTTTCTAGTCTTGACTTGTTTTGTAATGTTTTTTGTGTACTGAGATGTTGTATGGATGTCTTA